GGTTAAATGATTCATGTGCCCGCCGACCCCCACCCCTGCCGCCGACGACGATGCCGCGCCGGACGACGAGCCTGTGGTCGGCGACGCCGACGGCGGCGGCGGCGGCGGCAGCATGGGCAAGGCGCGGCGCTGGGCCAAGAACTTGCCCGACCCGTCGTGCTGCCCCGCGCTCCCGCTGCTTCTGCTCGCGCTCATCGGCACGGTCGCGTTTGCCTTCTCGCGTCCGCCCGCGGCGCTGCTGCAGTGTGGACCAGCCACTCCATTGACGCTGCTGCTGGCGCCTCGACCCGAGGCGCAGTCAAGGACAGGAGCAGCGGCGAGAGGCAGCGAAGAAGTGGCACGGACGCAGCGAGCGCGCAGAGGCAGAGCACGAGTAGTCGAGCAGGAGAGGCGGCCGCACGTGCGAGCACGAGCACTGGTGTGCGGGACCACGTTGGTCGCATGTCGAGCTCGGACCTGCGCTTCGGGCCTTCGGCTTGGACACAGTTTTGTAGAGAAACGCGAAAAACGGCCGGGTACCAAGCGTGTACCCCTTCAACCCCTGTCCCATTCGCCTCTCTTATATGCCAGGACAAGACGGGCGCGGAGCCCGCACTCGAAGGGGCTACTAGCCTCTCTCGACTGAGGCTTTTCTTTTGACTACGCCGCCCTCCCCCCCCCACCACACACACACGTACACGTAGAGCTAACAGCTAAGAGCCTGGCGTCGGTGCTAAGCTGTGGCTCACGCGACACTGCCCCCGGACGTGTGAGGCGCAAGCGGATGTTGAGGGCGATGTTTGCAACCTAACGGAGGCGAGTGTAGCGGTGCGCTGTGCCGGCGCCGGTGCTGATGTGACTACTCCAAGAGACCGTGTCGATTGAAGACTACTCATGACAGAGTGTGTGCGGGTGGACGTGGGCGAGAGGCGTGATGTGGGATGGCGCACCGGTCGCGGTGGTGCGGATGAGTGAGCCGCCGCGCAGCCGTGAGGTGCTCGATGAGTGAGCCGCCGGGACAGAGCCGCACCTGCGCAGGCAGCAAAGGTGGGCGGCGTGAGCGCGCGCGGTGCCGCGCTCCACGGTGTGCGAGAGTGCCGGGCCGGGCGTGCCCCCATCAGCGATGGAAGCTCAAAGCCGGCACAGAAGCTCCGACACGGGCGTCTGCTGGTTGCGCGTGTCGACGAGCGGGCCCGAGCGAGGCCGCAGAGGAGGAAGAACGTCGGTCGTGCGAGCGCTGAGGACAAACGGACGGCTGAGTGAGGGACGGCAGTCATACCGGCAATAGTCGGTGTGCGGCGGCGGTCGCTCGGGGGCGGAGGCCGGCGGCAGGGAGAGAATCGGGCGAGAGCACGGAGCACGCCTGCCGTCGAGTGAGAGCAGACATCTACAGAGAGCACGTGCGGCCGCGCCGGGCCACCGAGAGGCGCACCTGGCGCAACTCGAGCGTAAGTGACCGTGGCGGCAGCCGCTCAGCGCTCGAGGCGACCATCCGGCCGCCGGGCGTGCCTCTGGCGCCGACTCGGCGCCGTCGGCGACCCCGCGCGGGCCAGAGTCATGTCGAGCCGGGGCTGAGCCGGCGGTGGCGGACGCTTGGATGCACGCTCCGGGGGGCTGCCGGGTCGGATCGGCCTTTCGGGCGCCGCCGCAGCGCCGCGGAGGCACTGTTCTGGTGAGAACACGCGCCACTGAGGCCGACTGAAGTTGCACGCCCAGGCCAGCCGGGTAGAGGGAGCGGACCGTGAGTTGAGGAAATCGGAGGACGCGACCCACCTCGCCACAGACGGTCCCGCGCCTCGCCGCTATGACGGGCACACGCCCCGCACCGTCCGCTGTGTGCCCGTCTTTGTCCGGAGTGAAAAGTCCAACGCGCTCGTCGGTGGCGGCTTCCTCCAACCTGCGCCGCGCTCGGCGAACCTCGACAGCGCTTTCGGTGGCATGCATTTCTTCGCGACAGAAGCCTGGAGAGCAGCTCCTCTGCTGCTCACACACTCTGCACAGATGGCACAGCTTACTGTGCGGCTGCCACAGCTGTGACAGCGATGGGCTCGCCCTCACTGGCCCTCAGTCACTTGTGCTGCGGCTTGTGTGAGCGACACTGCTCGGCGACTGCCGGCACACTGTGAGACCATGGGTGTCAGGTAAAACCACGGTACCAGCGCTTGGTCACATCGGCCCTGAGGTCAGATCCTTCTACTCTGTTGATGACAACACTTATCTACTCGCTGGAGCCGAGCAGGAGGGCCCGGCGCACAACCCCTGGTCAACTCAGGGTCCACACCCCGTAGTGGCTAGTGCCCGCGCGCCGCGCGGTGATATGTAGCGCCCGACGTATGTACGAATGACTAACACCCCGGCGGACCCGCGATCCCGCGCGATCGATGCACAAAACGTCCTATACCATGTCCTATACACACGGACACGCGACACACACACATTTATTCAGTATATATTCATAGCGCGGCGTGCTCTGCTCTCGCGCTACATACCGCGACCGCTACCTACCGCGACCGCTACCTACCGCTCAGGCGCGATATACCGGAGGGGCCACTTTCCTGATGCTGTGCGTGCCCGGCGCGCGGTGGGGTATGCGGGCGCCGCAGGACACATACCGACACGCGTGAAGGCTCGTCTCGGGTCTCGCACACGTGGAGCCCACACAGGCCCGGTGTGGCGCCGTCGCGTGTGTGATCTGAAAGAAGACTGGAGGGAGGCCCCTGCGTGCCACATTCGCTCGCGGGTACAGTAGTATAGCGCGAGCTGAATCCCTACTCGTAGTACAGTGCAAAGCACATGGCCAGGGCGATGAGCTTGCCCTACAGGCGCGGCCGGAGCGGTCGGGGGCACTTGCAGGAGATATGGGCCGGCCGGCGAGGCGCACCCCGGGATGCCGCCACTCCGCTGTGGCACAATTATCAAAGGCCTAACGGGGCAGGGGCGGAAGTCGGCGAATTGCACGGCTCGTTTGCTCTCGACGAGCGAGACGATGCAAGGCAAGTCTGCAAGTGGACACGGGTCGTGGCACTATACCATGCACCTTGTCCCACAGGCAACGCGACGAGACGCGAAACGACTGCTGGACATTCTCCGAGACGACAACATGACAGATGAGCTTATACCTGCGGGAGAATATGCCAAATGGCGGGCGCACGGCGAGGAAGCGGGGCGGGGTGCCAAGACCTCGGCTGCTCGCCCAACGCCGCCTTCACCCTCGCAGTGCACTCTTGCGAAACCTCCTTCGCAACGTCGGCCGCCTCTTCCCGGTCGTACTCCCAAACGTACTGCCTGCGCATCAGACCACAACCAACGCGTCAGCCCGGGCTCTGCAAGTCTCTCTTTGCAGACCGTTGTGGCGCCACGGCCCAGGTCGTCTGCGACCGCGTGCGTGCACCGTCTCGCCTAGTGATGGCAGCGCACCCGCCCTCGTCCTTTTCCAGCGTGTACGACATGCTGGCCTCCAGCGTCTCCTTCATCGCATTGACAGCAACCGACGGCTTGAACCTATATGTTGCTTGCAGCGCCGATGAGTCGGCATCGGCCCCGTATGGGCCGGCGGGCGGAGCGTGGGTCGCCGGACCGCTGCTCCTCCGTGGGCTCCAGGCGGAATGTGTTCTCGTAGATCTTGACCGGTTCCACGCCGCCCGTGTCCGCGTCCGCCATACGAGAAGGGGCCAACGTGCCTGGCGGCGCAGTGAAACGTTCAGTTCATAAGAAATTTGCAAAGTCGGAGCCACGGGAGAGAATTATTACACGGGAGAGTAGAGAGAACGAGGGAGAGAACGACGAGAGTGGGACGACCGCGAGGTGGCATGAAGGTTGCAGCGAGAAGCGGCGAGAGACTGCGAAGAGAGATAGGAAGAGGCAGACTCCCTAGGGTGGGCGACGGCTAGCACATCACACACCTACCTCTCCTTAAAATCCCTGTGTGGTGGCGGCGTGCCGTCCTCCCATCCCTCCCTTGGGTTGCGTGTTTTCTTTCTTTCAGAATTATTACACGTGCAGGTGTGGACCCTGTCCTCCTCCCCCATCCCTGGTTTGGGTTTGTGTGTTTTTCTTTCTTTCTTTCTTTAGAATTATTACAGGGTCGTGGACGACCGCGAGGTGGCATGAAGGTTGCAGCGAGAATCGGCGCGAGGGACTGCGAAGAGAGATAGGAAGAGGCAGACTACGCCCACAAGGGTGGGCGACGGCTAGCACCACACTCCTCTCCTTAATTAAAAATCCCTGTGTGGTGGCGGCGTGCCGTCCTCCCATCCCTCCCTTGGGTTGCGTGTTTTCTTTCTTTCAGAATTATTACACGTGCAGGTGTGGACCCTGTCCTCCTCCCCCATCCCTCGTTTGGCTTTGTCTGTTTTCTTTCTTTCTTTCTTTAGAATTATTACAGGGTCGTGGACGACCGCGAGGTGGCATGAAGGTTGCAGCGAGAATCGGCGCGAGGGACTGCGAAGAGAGATAGGAAGAGGCAGACTACGCCCACAAGGGTGGGCGACGGCTAGCACCACACTCCTCTCCTTAATTAAAAATCCCTGTGTGGTGGCGGCGTGCCGTCTTCCCATCCGCATCCCTCCCTTGGCGCTTGGGTTGTCTGTTTTTCTTTCTTCCTTTTAGGATTAAAATAAAACTCCCTCGCACGACACTGGCGACTGGGCATTTAAGAAAACGTGTTGTCACCCACACTAGACACTTAACACACACAGTTTTGTTTTGTGACACTTACTGACCCGAACGGTTTCTCGGGGTTCGTGCACCCCCATCTGCCTGCGCAAGAGACGCGTCGGGCTCATTTTCATCGATTCGGCCCCACTACATTGGGAAAGATAAGCCTGGACACCACTGTGTGTGTGTGTGTGTGTGTGTGTGTGTGTGTGTGTGTGTGTGTGTGTGTGTGTGTGTGTGTGTGTGTGTGTGTGTGTGTGTGTGTGTGTGTGTGTGTGTGTGTGTGTGTGTGTGTGTGTGTGTGTGTGTGTGAACGGGTTTCGTTGGGCGCGCCCGGGGGCCCTCAAGGGGGAGGCGCAGCTCAACATTCTTTCTAGTGTGCGCCAGTCCCGTGCCTTGTGTGTTGTCAAAGACCAACAAAAAATTCTACTCGAGTACTCGAGTATACGCAAAGAGAGAGAATTTCTCTCTCTACACAAATAAATAGAGCAGGCATCTCCAGGAGAGATAGATGGGCGACGCACGAATCACACAGGTGGACCGTGAGCCGGGTTATTCTTCTTTCGGCCGGCCGATCGGCGTCGGGGGAGACATCAACACACACTTGCGACATAAAATGCTCTCGAGGACGGTGAGCGAATTCCTCCCTCCAGCGCGAAGTCTTTCCCCCTGCCCTCACCCCGACCCCCCCCTCCCTCGACAAATCACATGTGACAAATACAGATTCGCCGCGCCGCCAAGCCGGCCACGACGACGCGCTCGTTCGAGCGGTACCTCAACCTGCACGAGGTTCGCCGCACGACCGTCTGCCGGTGCCATCAGTCGCCCTCCCGCACCGGCTGAGCCCGGTCTCCGCCCGCGACGCAGTACCAGAGCTCGGCGCTGATGAAGGAGAATGGCATCAATGTGCCTGTCGGCATAGCAGCCCACTCTGCAAAAGAGGTGCGTGACCGCGTGTGCTGAGCGTGAATTCGGCGCGCTTGAGGCGTCGCTGCCCGGCCTCGCAGGCGATCGCGGCAGCGGAGGAGATTGGCGACGCGGAAGTCGTGATCAAGTCGCAGATCCTCGCCGGCACAAGACACACAGCCGCCTGCCCCTCCCCACACTCGCTCTCCTGCCCGCATGGCAGCCCCCTCCTCCCGTGTATCGCAGGTGGACGAGGGCTGGGAACGATCTGGAAGTCTGTATCTTCAGGGTACTCTTACCCCCCCCCTCCTGGCATGAACGCCAGCTGCTGCGCGCCTCCGTCCGCCACGTATCTGCAAGGCGAGAGCGCGGCCATCCTTCCCCTCCCTCCCTCTCCCCACTTGCGAGAGCCACTCCTCTGCAGAAGGAGCACCCGCCTCGCGTGCCAGGCGGCGTGCACGTCATCAAGAAGGAGCAGGTTGAGGCGTACGCCAATAAGATGCTTGGCGGCACCCTGGTCACCAAGCAGTCCGGCCCGGAAGGCCACGCGGCTCCCGCTGCCGCGCCCGCTGCCACGCCCGCCGCCACGCTAGCGCTTCTCCGCTGCCTCGCCCGTTGCCCCGCTCCCGCTCGCTCCTCCTAGCAGGGTAATGACCGCCTCCACCCCCCACCCCACCCGCCAGGCAAGCCGGTTACGACCCTGCTGATGGCCAAGAAGATGGAGCTCGTCAACGAGATGTGCGGCGGGGACGGGGAAGGGGCCCTCGGGAGGGGGCGCAGCGCCACGCGGCCACAGCTGCTCACGAGGGGGGGGGCGGGGGGGGCACTCAGGCCCTGCAGGCACTCAGGGGCCCCGCCCGCCTGCAGGTACCTGTCGATCACCCTCGACCGCACAACGATGGGCGCGGCCCCTCCCTCCTGCCCTCGACCTCCTCTCGACCTCCTCGGGCCGCCGACACACTCCAGCGCATCCTCCCCGCCCCTCCCGCCTCGCCACGCAGGCCCTCTGATCGTCGCGTGCGCCAAGGGCGGCACCTCGATCGAGGACACCGCCGCGGAGGACCCTTCTTGGATCATCAAGTGCCCGGTCGACATCTCCAAGGGCATCACCAAGGAGAACACAAAAACGGTGGTCGACGGCCTCATCGCAGGGCTCGATAGGATGGGCGTCGCCTCGCAGCTCAAAGACAAGAAGGAGGACGCCTACAAACAGATCGAGAACCTATACAACATGTTTGTCAAGTACGACTGCACGATGGTCGAGGTGAACCCGATCGCCGAGGACCCGAGCGGATTGCTCCTCGCCGCCGACGCGAAGATTGGCTTCGACGACAACGCCGCCTTCCGGCAGCAGGAGGTGTTTGACATGGGCGAAAAGAACGTGGACCAGGTGGACCCGCGCGAGGTGGCGGGACACCATGACACGTCCACGACACGTCCGAGACATGCCCCATAGGTGGACCCGCGCGAGGTGGCGGCCGCAGAGTTCGACCTCAACTACGTCGGCCTCGACGGCAACATCGGCTGCATGGTCAACGGCGCGGGCCTGGCCATGGCGACCATGGACATCGCGAGCCAAAAGGGGGGCGAGCCCGCCAACTTCCTCGACGTCGGCGGCTCCGCGTCGGTCAAAAACATCAAGGGCGCATTCGAAATCATCACCAGGGACCCGAAGGTCAAGTGCATCCTGGTCAACATCTTCGGCGGCATCATGAAGTGCGACGTGATTGCCGAGGGCGTCAAGCAGGCCGCCGCGGAGATGGACCTAAAGATTCCGCTCGTCGTGCGGCTCGAGGGCACCAACGTCGCCGCAGGCAACAAGATCATTAAGGACGCAAACCTGGCTACCCTCATCTCTGCCGACGACCTCGACGACGCCGCCGAAAAGGCCGTGCAAGCGATATCGTGAGAGCGAATGGCGCTGCCACCGATTCCCCGGCACGGCTTGCACAGGGGCGTGTCACGCGCAGGCGTGCAAAATCTTGACTTGTTTGCGTGTCCTCTTACGAAGCGCTTCGGTCGCGTGTGCGCAGTGCGGCCGCGGTTGCGCTCTTCGCCTGAGACGTTTTTCGTTGGTAGGATTCTAGCTGAACACCTTTCGCGCTTCAGAAACAATGTCTTCCACGCACACTGGCACACTGCACACTCGGACACGCTGACTCTGAGACGCAGACCCAGGGCACACACACGCGACACGCACACGGCTCACGGCTGAGGCTCACCGCTGCCACGCGTCACGCTCACGGGGGCTTGCGCACAGAGGTCAGAGCGCTTACATCTCTCAAAACACGGCGCAAACGGAGCTGTGGGGGCTGACTGCTGACACCTCTTCTTCTGAGTCTCTTGCGACTGGCAAACAACACGGCATCGCGGTCCCCCGTTCCCACCCCCCTCAAGCTCGGCCAGAGGGGTGGCACTGGCCAAGGCCCACTGCTACGCAGCCTCTCCGCCGGGGGCCACGCTCCCCCCCCTGCCGCCCCCCCGTCCCCGCTACAGCAGCGTCCTCGCTACAGTGGCCCCATCGCGTCGAGGAGCGCGGCCTCGCCCCCCTCGTCCTCCTCCGCCACGGCCTCGCCCGAGCCAATGTCGGAGATGGGCGCGTCGGGCTCGAAGGCGAGGAAGAAGTGGGCGGCGGCGTTGAGGTGCGTCCCGTCGGACCAGGGCAGCCGCTTGTCGTGTCGGCCGGCGAAGTACCACGCCTCGACGAGGAGCGAGTCGCCCTTGCGCAGCGAGAGCGGGCCGCCCTCAGGGGAGACGCAGTGAGTGGCGTGCGTGAGGACGCCGCCGGCGAGCTCGCTGCTGTTTGTCCCGTTCTTGCCCTCGTGCGTGACGTTGTGCAGCGGAGAGTACCGAGCGTGCGAGGCGCACCGCCGCTGCCCGTTGACGTAGAGCGAGATGTTCTCGGCGCCAGCGCGCAAGTACGCGGTCGCGTGCTTGACGGAGGCGGCGAACGGCATCGTGTAGTTGGAGGCGATTCGCACGTTTTCGCGCGAGGCGTTGCGCAGGACGGCAAAGTGCTCGGCGCAGTGCGGCGCGGCGGGGAGGACGCCGACCTGGAGGGGCGTCACCCGCCAGGTCTCGCGGGTGTACTTGACCGTGTACCGCAGCCGCACCTTGAGGTGGCGCGCCGCCCCCGAGCTGTTTGTCGCCGGGCAAAAGGCCTCGCCCGGGTCGGAGCCCTGCCCGCAGCAAGCGAGGGTGCCGTTCGCCTTGGCGGTGCACGCGCTGCCCTTGCCCTCGGCGTAGTAGCACTCGCGGCACTCCTTGGCCGCCCGCAGCCGCTCCCCGGCCAGCCCCTGCGTCCGCATGAGCGCCACCTCGGCGTAGAAGGAGCGCCCGTCGCCCGGCACGAGGTAGCCGTACCCGGGAGGGAAGGAGGCGGGCGCCGGCTTGCCCTCGCTGGCGGCCTGCAGCACCTGGTTCGCGGCGCCCTTTTGCCCATCCCTGCAGAGCGGGTTGTTGTGCGCGAGGCCCTCCGACTGGCCGTCCTCGAGGTAGAGGTGCCTAAGGGACGCGTCGTGGACGTGTCGTGGACGCGTCCCCTCCGGGCCGCAGCCCTCGAGAGGCGGAGCTGCAGGTGGTGGAGAAAGACGTCCTCGGGGGGGACGGGCTCGCCCTCCTCGTCCACCACAGCAACGTCCGAGAAGCCGAGCAGCGCGTAGCTCCCGTTCGGAGTCGGCATCTCCAGCGCGCGGTGCGCCTCGAATAGGATCTCTCCCGGCTTGAGCTTCAGGAGCGGCGAAAAGAGCATCTCCTCCGTGATCCAGTGCGGCGGTGGCGGCGGGGAGGGCGAAGGCGGCGAGTGCGGGTGCGAGGAGGGCGGCGGCGGCGGCGGCGGCGGGTGCACCGGGCCCGCGGGGTGTACGTGCGGCGGGGGCGGGGGCGAGAGGTGGTGCGCATGCTCCGGCTTGACCACGGCGGCGGTGCCCGGCCGTGCGGCCGCCATCACGATGAGACCAAAGCAGAAGCCGAGGAAGCAGGAGCCCGCAATGGAGATTTGCCACTTGCGCAGCGGGCTGAGCCGCTGAAAGTCGTGGTAGAGCTCCCTCGCGATCTCCGCCGTCCGGCTCAAGCAGCGGCGTGGCAGGGAGCGAGGCGCGCTGGCGCCGCTCGGGAGCGGCGAGAAGGGCTGCGCGCTGGCGGCGTACGCGGCTCCAGCCGTAAGAGGGTCGTTGATCGTGTTGCTCATCGTGTTCCGTACGCGAGGAGGGCGGCCGTGGCCAGCGATTTTTGGTGCGCGACAACACACAGCAGGATTCCAACTTTTTGGTAGGTATGGTATGGGAGCCTGGCTTTTGGAATATCAGGTATGTTATCTGAGGAGTAGGTGAAAATCACTTCACTCATCAGGCTCGGACTGGGGCGCGGTATGGGTGGACGCGAACTCACAAGAGACTCACCCCGAAAAAGAGAGAAAAAATCCCACTCCGCAGCCCGCCGACGCCCGCCGCCGACCACCGGCAGCTCGGCCCCCTCCTCATTGCAAACCTCCTCATTGCCAAGCTGGCCAATGGCGTGTCTGCCGACCCCAGCGGATGCGTCGCTCAGCAGCCTGCTGCGTCGCGACCCGGACTTTTCACGCTTCTCGTGCGGCCTCTCGAGCAGCGGCGCCGGACAGCGATCTGGCTGTGCCTTGCTGGACGGACGACTGCGCTGCCGCCCAAACTTCCTTGTGATTGGTGTCACCAAGGCGGGCACGACGGCACTCTACCGCTACCTCCGCCAGCACCCGCGCGTCGGCGCGTCGGCCGTCAAGGAGCCCGCCTACTTTGGGTCCAGCAACGCGACGACGCTCTCTCTGCGCGCCTACCTCGCCCTCTTCCCGGCGTGCGAGGCGTGCGCGCGCGGCGAGGCGACGCCATCTTATGCGTGGCGCAACTCTGCGCCCGCAGCGGCGCTCGCCGCCAGCCAGCTCCTCGGGCGAGCCGCACGGCTGCTGATGCTCGTCCGGGAGCCAGTGGAGCGAGCCGCCTCGCACTACTCCTACTTTCGGCGCCGGCGGTTCGGCGCCGCGCGCAATCTGTCATCTGCACTCACCGCCGCCCTCGACGAGTTCTCCCTCTGCGCAGCGCAGCTCGGCGGCCTGTGGGATAGACGGTGCACGTACCGGCCAGGCCGCCGCGCTGCCGCGCTCGAGGCTGCGGCGAGGACTGGCACAGGCACCGTCGTGCTGCCGACACTTCGTCACCTGGCACGCGGTCGAAAGGAGTATGAGCTCGTCCAGGCGGGCCTGTACGCCGAGCACCTGATCACCTGGAGGCGCCGCTTCGACGCAGGCTCGCTGCTCGTGCTCGAGGCGAGCGGGCTGTGGTCGGACCCACTGGCATCGCTCCGACGAGTAGAGGCGCACCTTGGCCTCCCCGCCTTCGAGGGGTACGCCCTCTTGCGGGCTCACACCCTCCCCGCCGAGGCGCGGGAGGCGCAGGCTGCCGCCAGGCTGCCGCGAGGGCGCCCCGCCGGATTTGTTCCGGTGGCGCCAGGGGTGGTCCGGAGGCAGGCCTGGGTGAAGGCGAGTGGGAGCGCGGAGGCGGAGCCACTCGAGACACTCCTCCTGGGGAGGCTGAGGTCCTTTTTCCAGCCGCACAACGCGAGGCTGGCGGCGATGACGGGCGTCCGGCTGGTGACGTGAACGTGAGAGCCGTTGACAGCTAAATGCGCACAACTGTTCACGCTAACAGTACCCACGATACTCGTGCGTCCCCGCGGCGCATCGGTGGTAGTGAACGAGAGGCGGCATGAAGCGGTGCCTGTGCCTGCTGCTCGCGTGCGTGCCCAGCATCGCGCTGCGCACTCGAGTCGGTCCGCTTCCGGTGCTGCGGCCCACGCGAGCTGGCTCTGCGGCAGGCTGGAGCCGTCATCCAGTGTGTCCACGCATGGAGCTCAAGACGGTGGCGACGGCCGTCGAGTCATCCGAGGTTGCCAAGACTCTCGTCGGGTCGACCAAGCCCGCCGCCTGGAGCGAGCTCGAGTGGCGCGTCGCCAACTCACGCGTCGAGCCAATCTTGCGATCAATGTTCGAAGCTCTCTCGGGACTGTTCACCGGCACTCCGGCAAAGAAGGGGAGCGCCTCGCGCATCTGGGAAGCGTTCTGGCAGCCCCTGGACCTGATTTGCATCGCACTCTTAATATGGGGCTCATCTCCCGTCCTTCGCGCGCTCCACGCGCGTGCGCAGGCGCTGCGTTCTGCCGGCGAGGGGGGAAACTATCTTTCTTCCTGGTTGGAAGCTCTCGAGACGCCCTTGAGGAGGACCGGCGGGGTACTCGCCGCCCTCTTCATCCTCGACGCCGTCGTGTACATCTGCGGTGTTCGCGGAGTGATGACCAAAAAGCTGGCTGGAGCGCTCCCCGCCGCTGTGGCCGACTTCACTACGCCGGTCCTCGCGGCCACCTTCGTCGACGCCATCAAATCTCGCCACTTTCTCCGGAAGGAGGGGGTACGTGCTGGGGCGACACTGCAGGGCGACTCGGCGCTGGCTGACCGCCTCTGGGGCGCAGCCGTCTGGCTGGGCGCCGGCTGGTGGACTGCTCGCATCATGTTTGTGCACCTCGGTTTTCGAGTCCGATCGCTCCTGGCCATCGGCGGCGCCTCGTCACTGATATTCGCGACGGCATGCCTCACGCCGCTCTCGAACCTCGTGCAAGGGCTCGTCATCGCCGTCAGCCGTCCCTTTGCGACGGGCGACAAGATTAGTATTGGGTCGATGAGCCCGCTCATAGGTCTCGACCTCTCTGGCCGCCCCGCGCCAACAGCGTTCGACCTCCTATCGACGGCCTCCCCTCCTTTGCCCACGCTCAGGGTTGGTGGAGCACTTTGGGTGGTACCAGTCGCGGCTGCGCACCGCCAACAACGAGCTTGTCGTGCTTCCAAACTCGATGCTCGCCAAGGAGCAGGTCGTCAACCTCTCAAGGCGCACCTCGAAGAAAATCCAGGCGACGTTCCGCGTGCGCTACGACGACCTCCCAAAGGTGCACCCGTTGCTTGAGGAGCTGTCGGCGGCGGCCGCCGAGGTCAGGGAAAACATGCCCGGCAAAATTCCACAGGTGTGTGCAAGAGCCTAGACCTCACGCCTCTCGCGGTGCCCTGGGTTCAGGAGCGTGGTCCCTGCCCCTGCTTGGCAGGTCTTCCTCGCCGACTTTGGCGTCGCCGCAGTCGAGATCCGTGCGGTTCTCAATCTCCGCCCCAGCTGCGACGACAAGGCCGTCAAGCAAGCGTTCCTCTTGCGTGCCGCGGAGATCATCGCGAGCAAAGGGGTTCGTTTTGCCCCGCCGGTCGTGCTGTCAGAGTCGTAGAAGCGCGGGGCTCTGGGGGGAGGCGGGGGCCCCCGGAGGCACCGTGCGCCGCGCAGCAGTGCGGAAACGGGGCTCCGGCTCCACTAGTCTCCACTACCCGATCAAGTACGGTTAAGTAGAGGGCAGATTTGGAGAGATCTCGAGGAGTACATACAGATAGACCCTCCAACCATCAGAAAACTCTAACCTGATCGGTCGTACTGACCGCCGACAGATCACTGCAGGCAAGACGAAGCAGACAGGCCGACATCTGCACGCGGCCGACCGGGCGAGAGGCTTGACACGATCCGACCCTGCGACCCTGATGCTGCTGCTCTAGCTATCAGACATGCACTGCTGACTGCTGCCACAATGTGCGACCGGTGCTGGCCCACTTGGCGGCCTCCCCGGTCAGTGGTGAGGCGCAGTTCAGAGCTGTCGATGGCGCGATGCCGCACTGGTCCCACATTGGTGACACGAGACCACCACGTTTGCCGGTCCAAGAGAGAGGCGCTTGCGCGGTTCTGAGAAGGTGCGTGGTCCCTCTTGACTGCCCATGCGCGCGAGGCTGTGTAGGCATAGCCTCGAGAGTGCCAGCAGCCAATCCGAGGCAGTTTGTGACGCGCATTGCGTCAAAAGCGTGCACGCGCTGGAAGGACACCTTCCTACTGGCCGTACGATCAGGTCGTCACTGAATGCTGGATACTAAGGCCGCGAGCTATGCAGGTGGTCAATTGCGCAGCAGGGCACGGTCAGCAGCGCCGACAGGCTGTCGCAAGGCGTGATAGCATGGCCGCAAGTTCCAAGTACGCCGAATTCCCACTCCCAGTGCTCCCAGGAAAACAAGTGAAAAATCCAAAAAATCGGCGCCTGCGGCGGGCTGGGGGACCCCATCTCCCCCCCGCATGGGTACCCCCTAGGCCCCCCGCCTCCCCCCAGAGCGCGGGGTTACCAGTACGGTGCCGTATCAATACCTCTACCGGGTACTTCAAGACTCGCGGCGAAAGAATTGTATGTATGTAAAAAGTCGAACCAGTCCAGGAGGGAAGGGGGGGGGGGGGGGGGTAGAGTTACTGGAACGAGTTGGAGGGCGAGGGCGGCGAATTGGCACAGAGCCGACCACAGTCTCTCGAGTGCCGTGGCACTGCGTTCGCTGCCGCTGGCTGCCGCTGGCTGCCGGGCGCCCGCCGCATATATGGAAGACGAGGACTACGTGGTGGCGGCGGACGCGGGGGCCGCAGGCACACGAGGTGCTCGCCGCCTCCGCCGCGACGTGGGTGAGGCACAGAGAATGGAGAGACGAGCGCATCGGCGCATTGTGCCATCGCGTTGCGGTCAGGGCCGCGCGGCGACGGAGAGCGGGGCGGAGGAGGATGAGGCCAGGAGTGAAAAAAAATCCAGGTATTTTCTTCCGCCGAGGTCTTGAAAAGTTCGCTCTGCGGCAGTCCCTTTGCAAACTCCCGCCGTCCAGCGTTCTCGGGCAATGACCACTGCGGTCTCGGCCGAAACCGTATCTCCCGCACGCTTGATCGCTGGTGGCGTCGTGGTGCTTGTAGGAGCTCTGGTCGCCATTCTTACACACGGCCGCTGCTGGGGACGTCCTCACTACACCTCGAAGACACCGGCTGGCTTCACTCCTCCCCACAAAGGCAAGAAGCTTGAATTTGGATTCATGGATCTCAAGTAGACGTCGATGCTGTAGAGCAGTGCCCTCGGCGACCGGTGGCCGTTTGGCCATTGCAGGCGTCTCACCGTGGTGATCAAGCGCATTCATTCAAGCCTGATAAAAAGGGGCAGCAGATGCCATGCGTGCCGCGAAGCTGAGACCAGAACGAAGCCTGCGCGCGCGCAACGACCTTGCAAGCTTCAACACAGACGTCAACACGCCGACTCGATTCTTTTTCTTTTTCGCTATGCGTTAGTTTTCTCGCGCGGCAGGGGCGCAGCTGTGCAGGGTCAGCGCGCACGGCACTGTAGTGACTGATGTACCGCTCAAAAGAGAGCTCCACTCACAAGAAAGTCCCAAATGCAAAAAATAACATGAGGGCGCACCACTCAGACTGTGAGAGAACGCATGCAGATGACGAGGTCACCGCAATCCCAGCCTCCCGAGCACGCCACGACGGCCATTGGTGTCACGGATGGCGGTAACCTCCTCCGTCGAGAGCTCGAGCGCCTGTGCGCGCAGAGCGGCACGTTAGTGAAGTCTGATCTTCGGGGGCGCGGGGTGACGCGCCGGGCGAGCGAGCACCTTGGCGAGGACGGGCAGCGTGTTTGGCAAATCGCCATCGAGCAAGTACCGGACGACCACGTTCTTCAGAAACGTGAGGTTGACGCCGGACTCTGACCGGGCGAGGGAGCGCTGCAGCTCGGCTAGCTCCGCCTTGAGAAACACATTCTCCTCGGCCAGCTCAAACAGCTTCTCCACGCTGTTGCGCTCGCCACTAGCTACTGTCCGCGTCTCGTCATGTGGCGGCCCGGCCTCGCTCGGGCTCGCCCGCTCGTCTGCGAGGAAGCTTCCCAGCAGTCCGCCGTCGCCAGCCGCCGACGACGACAGCGACGGCAGCGGCGCAAGCGGATCCGCCGGCACGGGTTGCGGTGCGGGCAGCGAGTGCGGCTGGGGTGGCGGCAGCAGCGGCTCGGAGGGGAGCATCAGCAGGGATTCCACGCCGCCGCCGCCCCGCGCTTGCTGGAGCGCCTGTGTGTGCGCGGCGACGGACCGCTGCAGCTCCGTCCGCTCGCGCTCGAGGCGCTCCAGCTTGGCCGCCGCCGCCTGCAGCTCGCGCGACTGCTCGGCGGCCGCCGCGTCGGCCGCGTCGACCTCTCTCCGGAGGCGCGCCTCCTCACGCCGGTGCGCGTCGAGGGCCTCGCTCATCGCTCGCTCCGCCCCGCGCAGCTCCAGCATCCGCTCCTCGCCCGCCGCCGCCGCCGCGCGTGCCTCGCGCGCCTCCTCCCTCGCCGCGTCGCGCGCCTCGCGCGCCGCCGCCGCGCCGGCGGCCGACGCCTCGAGCTGCTCCTCGGCGCGCGCGCGCTCCGCCTCCGCCGCGTCGGCGCGCGATCGCTCCTCGTCTCGCGCCGCGAGGCAAGCGACCTCGAGCTCCTCTCGCGCCGCCAGCGAGGCCACCTCGAGGGACCGCTCGAGCGCTGCGGCCTGCTCGCGCACCTCGGCGGCCCGAACCTCGGCGACGCGCCCCTGCTCGGCGGCGGCGCCGAGCTCCGCCTCCTTGGCCCGCAACGCCATCTCGGCGAGGCTCTTCTGGCGCGTGAGCTCGGCCCGCGCCGACGCGAGGTCGAGCTCGAGCCCCTCCACCTTGCCGAGGCTCTCGCGCAGCGCAGCCTCCCCTTTGCGCAGCGCCTCGCTCGCCCGCGCCTACGCACGGCCCTCGCACGATCCGCGCCCCCGCCCTCTCACGCGAAGCCGCCTCGCCCTTCTCCTCCAGCCTCGGCCCGCCGTGCCGCCTCCGCCTCGGAGCGGAGAGCGTCGAGCTCGCCGCGCGTCTCGGCGCTCGCCGCCTCCGCCGCACTCGCCGCGGCGGCGACGCTCCTCTTCTCGTCGAGAGACCTGGGTCGGGAGGGGGAACCGCCTGGGTGGGGGCGCAGCCCAGCGCCGGGGTGGCCGAACTCCCTTCCGGCAGCGCACCGGCCGAGCCGCTCCGACAGCTCCTCGTACGACGCCTACCACGCAGCAGCCGTCCCAGCGACCCTCAGTGCCGTCGACCCTCCCCTCTCTGGTGCTCCTCCGCACCACCCGCCTTGCTGCTCGCCAGCGCAGCCTCGAGGGACCGCTTCTCGTCGCCCAGCCGGACGATGAACTGCTTCGACTTGTCCTTGATCGCCGCAACCTGCGCCTGCTGCTTGCGGAGGCCCGCGTCCCTCGCCGCGAGGGCGGCCCTCGCCTCCTCGAGCTCCGCGCTCAACGCCTACTCCGACACACCCCTCTCTCGCCGGAGCGGGGGGGAGCGCTTCCGGCCCGCTCAGCGAGAGGGGCGACCTCGGCGACCGCAACCGCGCCACCTTCGGCAGGACCGAGGCTCTTGACGCCGACGAGGGAGCCGCCTGCTCGCACACGCCGGCGAGTGAGAGGAGGCGCGCACACAGCACGGCGGGCGGCACGCCGCAGCGGCCGCCGTTGAACTCGGTCATCGCCCCGGTCGACAAGCCGGACCCGCCACCAAGCTGCGCTGCGACACCCTGCACGCCGCCCACGCGGAAGCGGGCGACGACCGAACCGCCCGCGAGGGAAAGCAGCGACACGGCGCCGACGTCGACGCCGAGCGACGCCGCCACGTCGCGGCAGAACGCAGCGTCGAAATCAGACCTCGCGGCCGCGACCGCCTCAAAATCCATGTCGAGAACCACCTCGGCGACCTCCTCCTCGCCGCTGCCAGCGCTGCTGGCGCCGGTTGCATCGCGAGCCGCCTGCAGCTCAGCCGCCGCGGCCTCGGCCTGCCGCCTCGCCTCGGTGGCGTCGCTGTCGGAAGCAGCCTGTCTCTCCGCCGCCGCTGCCGCCTCCGCCTCCGCCGCTCGCCTCGCCTCGTCCGCTCCCGCCGCCGCGCGCTCCGCCGCCTCGGCCTTCGCCTCCGCCGCCTCGACCGCCGCCTTGGCCGCCGCCTCTGCGTCCGCCACGGCGATGGCGATGCGCGCGTCCGCCGCCTTGGGAGGAGACAGGAGTCGGGCCGCCCGGGTGGAGGAGACTGGAGGTTGGAGGCGGCCGGGCGTGCTGCTGTTGCTGATGGTGGTGGTGGTGGAGTGTGTGTGCAGCGGAGCGGCTCGCCTCCTGTGCGATCTGCTTGGCCTCCGCCGCTGCGCGCTTCGCCGCCTTTGCAGACGCCGCCTCCATCTCGGCGCTGTCCGCCAGCTGAAGCTCGAGCTGCTGCGACCGCTCCCTCTCCGCCGCGAGCGCCGCCGCCGCCTCGTCCCTCTCCGCCTGTCGCTCTCTCTCCGAGTCGGCCGCCGCCTTCATGTACACCTGGATGGAGGCGGGGTAAGGGGTCGGGCAGGGGCGGACGGCGGAGGAGAGGAGGGGGGGGGGGGGGAGGGGAGAGGAGGCGAGGGGGCGGGGAGGGGGGAGTGAGGAAGGCCGCCCCGCCGCCTTGAGCTCTTCCCGGCTCTGCGCTGCGGCAGAGTCGCTCATCGAGTCGGCCGCGTGTTGCAGCGCCCGCTCGTGCTCCGCCACGGCCGCCCGCAAGGCGTGCAGCTCCGCCGCCTGCTCCGCCACCTCGGCACGAAGCGCCGCCGCCTCGCTCGCCACCGCCTTCGCGCGGTCCGCCTCCGTCCTCGCGCCGGCCGCCTGCGCCGCCAGCTGGGTGCGGAGCCTCGCGCACTCCTCCGCGGACGAGTCGTCGCTGCGGCCTCCCTTCTTGCCCTTTCGACCCCGCTTGCCGCCGCCGCCCCCCGACGGCGGACTGTCCGCAGACCTTCCCTCTCCCGCCGCCTCCTCGGCCGCCTTGGCCGCCGCCTCGGCCGCCGCCTCTGCCGCCGCCCTCGCCGCCTTGGCGTCTAGGAGCTCCGCCTCCAGCGCCCCCACCCGCTTGAGCGCGTCGGCTGCCGTGGCCGCCTCCGCCTCGGCCGCCGCGAGGCTCGCCGCACTCTCCTCCGCCCTCTCCTCCGCAGCAGCGCGCTCGCTCTCGCGAGCTGCGGCGCGGCTCTCAGCTTCAGCGGCCCGCTCCTTCTGCCGCGCCGCCTCCGCCTCCGCCTCGCGCGCTGCCGCCGTGTGCGCCTCCAGCTCGGCCGCCAGCTCCGCCCGCACCCGCTCCTCCGCCTCCACCGCCTGCTGCGCCTGGCGGCACGGAGAGGACGGCTCAGTGTGTGTGTGGGGGGGGATTGGCTCCTCTCTCCCTCGCGGCTCTACGCTTTAGCGGCGCAGCGAACCGAGTTGGCCGCGTCCGCCTGCGCCGCCGCCCGCGCTGCCTCGGCGCTGCGCGCGGCCGCCTCGTGCTGCGCGATCGCCGCCGCCAGCTCTGCCCGCACGACGGCTCCGGCCTCGGCAGCCGAGGCGGCGATGGCAGCTCCGTCGGGCGGCGGTGCCGCAGCGGCTGCCTCTCGCAGCTGGTCCGCCTCGGCACGCGCCTGCGCCGCCTCGTCCTGCGACGCCTTGAGCGACGCCTCAAGCCCTCCCTTGGCGGCGTGCAGCCGCTTGAGCAGCGACTTGAGCTTCGCCTCGCGCTCGTCCGCGTCGGCCGCCCGCTTGCGCAGCTCCTCCGCCTCGCCGCGCATCCCCTCCGCCTCCGCCAGGCTCCGGCTGAGCTCCTCCTCGCGCCGCCGCAGCGCCTCCGCAGCCTCAGACCTGCTGCCGCCGCCGCCCTCGCCGCCGTCGGCCCGCCCGCGAAGCTGCGACAGCTCGGACTCGGCACGGGCAAGCTCTTCCTTTGTCCGCTCCAGCTCCTGATGCAGCGACTCGTTGGACTCGAGCTCCTCGAACGCGGAAGTCCCAAGCGCACTGATAGAGGATGTCAGGTTGTGTGTCAGCCCGCCCGCCGCCTGCTGCGCCTGCTGCAGCCACGCACCGTGGTGGTCCGAGGACGCAGGCTCCGGGCCGCCGGAGTTGCTGAAGGTCGCATTCACCTCGCCCTCCACCTCTGCGAGTTTCTTCTTGGTCGCCTCGAGGGCGCCCGCGAAGAAGTCCATCAATGCTGGCAAGAGTGAATGCTCGCCAATGGATTGCCTCGCACTCAGAGGTCGGAGAGTGAGAGCGGCGCCGGTGGGTGTTCGGATCTTGTTTCTTTTTGGGGGAAGCCGCATTAGAGAGCGGAGAGGGTGTGTGTGTGGGGGGGGCAGATGTGAGGTGGTATTGACCGCAGCGAATATGTTCACACCCGAGCGGAGGCCAATTGATTCGCGAGGCTCTGGCAAAAGTACGGTTGGCAACGGGCTCTTGTCCGTAACTTACGGTTGTGAACAGGGTCGTTTGGTTATATCCGCATGTTACAATCGCGAGGACGCAATACATGGCACACATTGCGGAATTCGCACTCTACCCCTCTCCGTGAAACTAAGAAGGGGATATGGGAGGAGGGTGGGATCAGAGAATCGAGGCCACTGGCCTCTGCTCCCGCCTGGGATCGCCCATTGCGACCCAGAGCTAAGAGAGACATCGCGAAAACCGCGCCAATAAGTTGCTGCCGATAAGTTCGCCCAACGGCGGCGCGGCGTGCAATAATTGCAAATAGGAAACCGCGCCAGACCGGCGGCGCCGAAGTGGAACGGCGCCTCGCACGGCGGACACCAGCAATATTAATAATTGACTTGAGCCGCCATGGTAGGACGCCGCCCTGAATGATGACGGCAAAGCAACCCGAATAATAAAAGCCATTGCTCCCTCAGTGTAAACGACTGTGAATACCGAACTCCCCCATTCACACCTAGTCACCGTGGCCCAACTGGGGTCAAGCCTGCAGTGCAAGCCTTCAGCTGGTGCCAAACCGTACCAAAACGTCCTCTCCGCGACCAAATACGCGGTCGTCGGTAGAAATGGCTTGCTTGCAAGAATGGGATGCCGACAGGCGTCAGGCGGCGCATGCCGAGAAGTCGCTTGCCGTGCGGGAGCTCGTGCGCCTCTCCCTGCGCGTGCAGTCCACGGGCGTCGTCGCGGAGCTTCATCTCGACACGGCACTGGTTGCTACGAGCGGCAGCGGAGCTGATCACGAGCGACGAATTCGCAGGGGATGCCAGGCAACAGATGGGCGCGCAGATAATTGGCGTGGCGTCCTATAAACAACGCACGAGCATGCTCAACTGCTGCGCGACGCTCTCTGCGACCCCGACTTTCTTTATGCGCTTTGCCATTCGCCGCCGCATTTCCTAAAGCGACACTAGCACTAGATGCGTCCTGGCATCGGGAGGGTCCGCCTAAGAGGAAGTATGCATGTACTTTGTGCGTGGAGTGTCTTCCCCTTTTGCGCAGCAATACCTTAAACTTTTAGGCCCTCCAAATTCGGGTCGGAGCGTAGCGGAGTGGGCCCCGAGTTTGAAAAAGGCGACGGACGCTTGCGTCCTAGCCTCCAACAACGCCTCCCCGGCGCAGAGGGGCCCCCGGAGGGATGCACAACCGCTCCACGCCACGCCGCTCGCGGCGGTCCTATTCCCAGCTCCGCTGAGGGCCCACACGTTATTTTAATGTTGGTGTGCGAGAATCTTTAGCGCACACACTAATAGTTAGAGGCTGCGCAGGCCGTCCCGTTTGCTGTTTGAAACGCCTGTTGCGCTGGCCGCTGCGCGCGCGCGCTGGCCGCTGCCGGGGCTACTGTCTCACTCTCACGTGCCGCAATATGTGTCACACACGGCGGCTTCTGCCACCTCTCGATTGGTTCTACTTTCTACGCACACCTACCGGGGAAGGGGCGCTTGGGAGCGGGGGCGGGGGCGGGGGCGGGGGCGCGCAGTGCGGCTGCGCGGCGCGCGCAACAGAGGGTAGGGTGGGGAAGACGACGAGGAGGGGGCGGCGGCGGCGGCGGCGGCGGCAGCGCGCGCGCGGCGCGCGCGTCGGGGGGGCGGAGCAGCGACCGCTGGCGCGGCCGCTGCTCCGTCTGTGCCAGGGACGCGCGCTCTGCGCCGCTGCAGAGCGCGCGCGTCAGGGCAAGGGGCATGCGTGGCGGCGCGGGACGCGTGGCGGCGGCGGCGAGCACGCTCCGTGAGCGGTGAGGCGGCCGGGCGAGGGCGCGGCGGGTGACGGGTCAAGGGAGCAGCCCACACCCGGCGTCGCTTTTTGAGCGACGCCTGTGGTACGCCTGCGCAGGGGCCGCAGGGCGGTCAGTTGTGGGGCGAGGCGGTGCCGGCCGCGGGCCGGGTGCAAGGCGCCGGCCTCGGCGCCGCCTCGGCGCGCCGCACGGGCGCGGCGAGCCTCTGAGCGGGAGCCGAAGGTTTGCCGCGGTGGGAGGTGGTAGGGAGGGAGGTGGGGGTGATTTGACTTTGCCTGCAGAGGCCGTCCCTAGCTGTGAACAGCAAAAGGGACAGTATTCTTCTCCTTACACGTCAGCAAGCAGCAGAAGGCACATCGACAGGTGAGTAGAGGCCCCTCGAGAAGTAGCAGCAGAAGGCACAAGAGAATTTGAGCATGCCGAGTTCGCGAGCCCTCTTCCTCCGAGGTTTCGGCGGCGTCTGGCTCTGTGCCTTCACCAGCTACTACCTCCAATTTCCCGGCCTCTATGGGAGCGACGGCTTGCTGCCTGCGGGCCCAGCGTGGCGATCGTCCGAGCGTGTGCCATTCGCCGACCGGCCGTCTCTCCTTCTGTTCCTGGGCACCGAGGACGACGTCGACGTTGCGTTGGAGCTGATCTCCCTCATCGGCGTGCTCGTTTCGGCCAGCGTGCTCGCCGGCGTGCTCCACGCATCGCTCTTTGCGCTGCTGCACCTGCTATACCTCACCCTCTTTCTGGCCGGCCCGACCTTCTTGGCCTTCCAGTGGTGCGAAGTTCGCGACCGCGTCAACCACTCTCACGCGGCACCTCCCTCACGCGTCACCGCCTCGCCGCGACAGGGACATCTTCCTGCTCGAGACGGGATTCATGGCCATCTTCTACGCGCCCTTCGGCGCCACGGTGCGCGACATCGACGTCATCGGCCACCCGATGGCATGGGTGCTGCGGGTGCAGTGGGTCAAGTTCATGCTCTGCTCTGGCGCGGTCAAGGTCTTCTCGCAAGGCCCAACTTGGCGCGAGCTCACGGCGCTCGAGTTCCACTTTGCCAGCACTTGCCTGCCCACCGCCGAGGCGTGGCTCTTCCACTCACTCCCACCGGCGCTCCTGCGTGCCGGCGTCGCCTTCATGTTTGTCTGCGAGCTCATCGCGCCGTGGCTCCTCCTCCTGCCCGTCACGCCCGTCCGCCGCGTCGGAGTGCTCGTGCAGGTTGCCTTTCAGGCTCTGATCCAGCTCTCCGGCAATTACAACTGGTTTAACCTGCACACTTGCGTCCTCCTCCTCCCGGCTTGGGCGGCGGACGCGCCCTCGCAGCCCTCCGGGCGGCCGCCCCGCGGGCTGGTCGCCCGCCTGCTGGCGCCTGCCGTCGCGTGGGAGCAGCTCTGGGGGACGAGGCTCGGAGGCACGCTCGGCGCGGTGTCCGCGCTCGGCGCGCTCGGCGTCGCGGGGGCACGCCTCTTTCCAGTCGCCGTGGAGTGGTCGGCGGTCCCGGCGGGCGCGGGGCCGCTGGAGACTCTGACGGCGCTGCTGGCGACACCGCAAGCCGTCCGGATCGGCAACCATGCGACCGAGGCGTTTGTGCGCGAGATGCTCGACTCTGCGCTGCAGTCTCAGTGTACAGGACTCTACCTGTACACGGTCACCGTGCTGTCGGCGCTTGGCTATTCGCTCGGCGGCGGCGGTGGCCCCTCGTCGGGCGCCGACGCAGCGCTGTGCGTGGACGCCCGGACACGCGGGGCTGGGAGGGAGGAGGAGGAGAAGGAGCGGTCGCCGCTCATCCCATCCAGCTGCCCCGAAGGGGAGGGGCGGGGAGGTGGTGAGGAGGGGCGGGTGGGGGGCGGGGCGGGGTGGCGGGGCGCGCTGGGCAGCATGGGTGCCGTGGCGGGCAGTGTCGGGCGGGCGTGCCTCGGAGCGGCGTCGCTGCTCCTCCTCGGCGTGACGCTGCTCCCCCTCTCCTCGATCGCAAGCCAGCCGGTGGAGGCGCTCGTGCCTTCCGTCGCCGGGCTGCGGCGCGCGACACTCGCGATGCACGCGCGGCTCCGCCCGTTCCACGCGACCTCCTCGTACGGGCTCTTTCGACGCATGACCGGCGTGGGGCCCCGTCGCAGCGAGGGGGTGCCCGAGGCGTGGGGCTGGGGCGGCCTCCCTCCGTCCATCGTCGAGGTGCCCGCCGTCGCAATCGAGGGCCACCCGAGCTTGCGGGGAGGCGGGGGGGCCGCCGAGGAGGGCTGGATCGAGATCCCCTTCCGGTACGCGCCATTCGGCGAGCGGCGGGCGCCGCGCCGCACCGCGCCGCACCAGCCACGCCTCGACTGGCAGATGTGGTTCGCCGCCCTCGGCTCGTACCAGCGCAACCCGTGGCTGCTGCATCTCGCCTACAAGATCCTCTCTGGCGGCGATGGCAGCGCGACGCTCACCCTCCTCGACACCGCGGCCTACCCCTTCCCGCCCGATCGGCCTCCAGCACGCGTGAGGGCAGTCCTCTACCACATCGACTTCACGCGAGTGCCCTCTCCATGGGCCAACCGCATCCCCGGCGTCGCCCTGCAGCCCGCACAATGCGGGTGGGCGGGGCCCTACGCGGCGCTCAATGCGAGCAGCCGGTGTGGCCGCTGGTGGCGGCGTAGGCGGGTGCGCGAGTACTTCCCGCCGCTCGACCGAGGCTCCCTCGAGGAGTTGCTGATCAAGCCGAGGGGGTGGCCCATCTTTGCAGACGCTGCGGCGCGGCAGCTTGACCCGTGCCGGGACCGAGCTGGCGATGCAGGAGGGAGTGACCGCGCGCTGCCGGGCCCTGTCTGCGACGCTACCGTGCTCGCGCGCCGTGCCGCTGCGCCGCTGCGCCGCTGGGTGGGCTGGGAATTGGGCGGGCTGGTGTTTTTGGATGCGCCGCTCCTCGTCATTGCGGCGGCGGCGGCGCTTGCGCTCGCACTCGGAGCCGCCGCGCGTAGCTGCGGCGGCGGTTGCGGTGGCAGGCGCAGGGGTCAGGCTGCAAGTGGCGTTATGCTGTAGGGTGGCAAAGTTGTGACACGTGAACGTTGCAGACCGGACGTGGCGTGGCGTTGCGGTGTATCTTCTTACTTATTCTTCCCTACCGTGGTACGGGGTGAGGGCGGTGGTCTGGAGAAGCGAGATTTTGGCGGCGCGGTGAGGGCGGCTGGAGGCGAGAGGGGGGGCGGCGCGGCGCGCACGATGAGAAACCAGCGAGGGGGCAGGTTGCGTTAAATTGTCACTCGCCATGCGCGTCCTTGGGTGACCCTCCAAAACTCCCTCCCCGCGCTTGCGTATGCGGGTGGGAGCTTCGAGGACATGCAGGCGTCCCATCCCCTCTGGCCATCCCCCCGGCTCCCAAGCGCGCGGCCGCGACGCGCTGCGCACCCTCTTCCGCGCTGCACCCGCTCTCGGCATGGCCGTCGTCCGCCGAGATCACCTCCTCTTCGCGCCGCAGGTGCACAGCCAAGGGCTGGCCACCTCCGTATCCATCATGGTGAAGCCAATGGGCCAAATTGGGAGAGCGCTCCCCTCCCAGGTGGCCGGAGGGTACACCTCGGGTCGGCGTGCTGGGGGGGGCGCCGGTGCGCAAGCCCACTTTCCGGGCGACCCCGAGGGGTAGGAGGCCGGGCGAGTGGCAGCAATTCACTGTTAGTGTCCCGGGCCGCTGCGGCACTGTTTATACGGCCCCTCGTGATGTCTTTCCGATTTTGCATTTTGAGTCGTCCTCTGGCCAGCCTCGGGGCACCAGAACGGCATGTTTGCTGCTGGCTGCGGGCGCGGAATGGGCTTTTTTTAACTCGCAACCAGGTATACTATGCAAGGACACCCTCGGAGGGGACACTCGGCGCATGTGCGACACGTCAGGGTGGAGTTGGCGGTGGCCGAGCGTCGTCTCCCAATCGACTCGCAGCGCGGAGTCGAGGGGTGGAAGCGCGTCGCGCTGCGACACTCGAGAGCCGGCGGGATAGCCGTGGGGCGCGGCCGACTTTGAAGTCCTCGAAGATCCGGTGCGCATTCGTCCTCTGACCCACTTATACAGGAAAGGGGCGAGAACGCGGCCATTCTCCATTGACAATCTAACGCAACCTTGAGCTAGCCCGTTCCACACAGTGCGAGGGGCGGGACGGCATGCCGGAGGGCGGGTGGGCGGAGGTGGGCGGCGCGCGGGCACGTGGGTTGGAGGGAGCCCCGTGCCTGCCTGGCGAACGCCTCGGCCAAGTGCGCAAGGACAGTGGGAATGGAGGTGACTTGTGGGTGACGCTAGAGGAGTCGAGTGCATGCTTCGGAACGCAAAGAAGAGCACGGAAAGCTCTGAGGATAAGACGCTCGCGCCGCCCGCTTCGAAAGCTACATTCTCATTCAGCCCGGAGGGGACCGCGGGAGCGCCCCGTGGCGGCTCGGAGTGTGGTGGCAAGGGCGGCGGCGAGGGTGGTGAGAGCAGCGGCGGTGGAGACGGTGGTGAGGAGGGTGGAGGTGAGGGTGGCGGCGCGGCGCGGCTGGAGGTGAGGGCGGCGGCAGGCCGACACGGGGTTGGAGGGAGCGGCGTACGTGCCTGGCGACGCCTCGGCCAAGTGCGCAAGAGGTCCAAGGACAGTGGCAACGGAGGTGACTTGTGGGTGATGCTAGCGGAGTGCATGCTTCGGAAAACGCAAAGAAGAGCAGCTAGCTTCGGAGGGCGGGCTCGACGGCGACGGCAAGAGCGGGGGCAGGCCAGGGCGGCGGTGACAGCAGCGGCGATGGCGAGGGTAGGCCGTGAGGGCGCAGGCGAGGGCGGCGCCGGGCGGCGAAGGGGCGTCGAGGGCGGCACCGGCGTCCGCCTTTGGTTGGGATTGCAGCTGCAACGGGCGGCGGGGGCAAGGTGGGGATGAGGGTGGGGAGGGTGGCCGGAATGGTAGCGGCGGCGTGGGGGGGGAGGGCGGTGGCGAGGGCGGTGGCGAGGGCAGTGGAGGTAACGGTAACGGTGGTGACAGGGCGGCGGCGGCCTCAGTGAGAGATGGCGGTGGCGGCTGTGGAGCGAGAGGGCGGCAGGGGCAATGACAGTGGGCAAGTGAGTTGGCCGGGCGATGCACTACAGAGGAGCGCGGTGTGTGCTTCGGAACGCAAAGAAGAGCGTGGAAGGCTCTGAGTAGACTTAGACGCTCGCGCCGCCCGCTCCGGAGGCTGCATTCAGCCCGGAGGGGACCGCGGGAGCGCCCAGTGGCGGCTCGGGGAGAGCCGGGTGTGTCTGCGCAGTGGCCTGCGCGCTGCCTTGGGCAGAAATCGCGCTCTCGCCCCCTTGGCTCCGCCCCCGAGCGAGTGAGGCTCGGAGGAGAGGCGAGGGGGCGAGAGCGCCGAGAGAGCGACTGAGGAACGGGAGAGGCCCTGAGGGTTGTTGCGCGCGCGCAACAAATCGTCAGAACCAAGGCTGAATCTCAGCGGATCGTGGCAACAAGGCCACTCTGCCGCGTACAATACCCCGTTCCTTATTCAAGTCGTCTGCAAGGGATTCGTCGGCCCGGGTCCGTGAATTGTGGTCGCTCGCGGCTCAGGCAGTGCTACCGTTGCTCGTGGCGTCCCCGGGCCGGTAGGTGGCTTTCCTTCCGGCATGGATTCTAACTTAGAGGCGTTCAGTTATAATCCGGCGCATGGCAGCTTCGCCGCATCGCCGTTTCCGGCGGCGGCTATACCGATGATGCGAATTGGTGGTTCCTCTCGTACTGAACCAAATTACCGTAGAAAAACAGACAGCAGTAGGGTAAAACTAACCTGTCTCACGACGGTCTAAACCCAGCTCACGTTCCCTGTTGGTGGGTGAACAATCCTGCATTTGGCCCCCGCTGCGAGGCAGTGATAGGAAGAGCCGACATCGAAGGATCAAAAAGCTACGTCGCTATGAACGCTTGGCAGCCACAAGCCAGTTATCCCTGTGGTAACTTTTCTGACACCTCTAGCTTGAAATTCCCAAAGACGAGAGGATCGATAGGCCACGCTTTCGCGGTTTGTATTCGTACTGAAAATCAAAATCAACCGAGCTTTTCCCCTTTCGGTCCACATGAGATTTCTGTTCTCATTGAGCTCAAAATCGGGCGCCTGCGTTATTTTTTAACAGACGTGCCGCCCCAGCCAAACTCCCCACCTGTTAGTGTCCCCGACGCGGATCGCGCGCACGAAGCGGCTTGGATCCAGAAGTGAGGCGAGCCTCCCTCCGCGCCACCGAGTAAGTAAAACAACGTTGACGGTTGCGGTATTTCACTGTCGGGTTGCCCCTCCCGCATATTCTACACCCATCAAGTCGTTCCACAGTAACAGACTAGAGTCAAGCTCAACAGGGTCTTCTTTCCCCGCTGATTCTTCCAAGCCCGTTCCCTTGGCTGTGGTTTCGCTAGACAGTAGATAGGGACAGTGGGAATCTCACGAATCCATTCATGCGCGTCACTAATTGGATGACGAGGCATTTGGCTACCTTAAGAGAGTCATAGTTACTCCCGCCGTTTACCCGCGCTTGGTTGAATTTCTTCACTTTGACATTCAGAGCACTGGGCAGAAATCACATTGCGTCAGCACCCTCGCGGGCCATCGCAATGCTTTGTTTTAATTAAACAGTCGGATTCCCCTTGTCCGCGCCAGTTCTGAAGCGGCTGTTCGTCGCGCAGGGAGAGCCGGAGCGCTCCTAGGCCGTCCGCCGGACGGCCGCGCGGGATCCGCAGCCGTGAGGCCGTAGTCCCCGCGCAGCCAGCCGGCCTCGAGCCTAGGACCCCTGCGCCCAGCCTTCAGAGCCATTCCTTCTCCCGAGGTTGCGGAACCATTTTGCCGACTTCCCTTACCTACATTGCTCTATCGACTAGAGGCTGTTCACCTTGGAGACCTGATGCGGTTATGAGTACGACCAGGCGTGAGAACGAACCGCTCCCCCGGATTTTCACGGGCCGTCGGGAGCGCGCCGGACACCCCAAGACTTAGGGTGCTTTGCCTGCCGTGTAGCCCTCGCTCCGGCTAAACCGATTCCAGGGCAGGAGGCAGTTAAGAAGAAAAGAGAACTCTTCCCAGGGCTCCCGCCGGCGTCTCCGGGTTCGTTCGCGTCGCCGCCCACCATCCACGCGCTGGCTCGGGAATATTAACCCGATTCCCTTTCGACGGACGGGCTGACAGAACCAGCCGCGTTCGGCGGAGTTTTCCTGTCTCTTAGGGTCGGCTCACCCGTGTCCAACTGCTGTTCACACGGAACCTTTCTCCACTTCAGTCTTCAAAGTTCTCATTTGAATATTTGCTACTACCACCAAGATCTGCACCGGGGCCCGCTTCACCCAGGCTCGCGCCCAAGGCTGCGCCGCGAGCCCCGCGCCCTCCTACTCGCCGGCGCCTCGCGCTCGCGCCGGCGGCCGCGCATCGGTGGTCCGCTTGAGCGCCATCCATTTTCAGGGCTAGTACCTTCGGCAGGTGAGTTGTTACACACTCCTTAGCGGGTTCCGACTTCCATGGCCACCGTCCTGCTGTCTGGAGGTACCAACGCCTTTTGTGGTATCTGATGAGCGGACACTTGGGTACCTTAGCGCGGCGTTCGGTTCATCCCGCATCGCCAGTTCTGCTTACCAAAAATGGCCCACTTTGAACGCGCCGTTCGCCGCCCGGGATCACTCAAGCATCCCGGGCCTCTTGCCCATTTAAAGTTTGAGAATAGGTGCAAGCTGTTTCAGCCCACAGGCCTCTAATCATTCGCTTTACCTGACAAAACCGTTGCGTTCAAGCTATCCTGAGGGAAACTTCGGAGGGAACCAGCTACTAGATGGTTCGATTAGTCTTTCGCCCCTATACCCAGATTCGACGAACGATTTGCACGTCAGTATCGCTACGAGCCTCCACCAGAGTTTCCTCTGGCTTCACCCTACCCAGGCATAGTTCACCATCTTTCGGGTCCCGACAGGTGTGCTCCACTCAAACCCCTCACAGCAGGTCAAGGTCGGTTGGCAGGGCATGCCCTTCACTTTCATTCCGCACGCGGGCTTGCCACCCGGGTACTCGCACACGTGTCAGACTCCTTGGTCCGTGTTTCTAGACGGGTCGGAGGGGCCCGTTCCGTCAGCCGGGCCCCGGGCCGCGCCAGGACGGGAGCTGGCCGTAAAGCCCCGCTCCCGGGTTGAGGCGCGGCGCCGAGGCGCGGCTGACCCGGCGCGCAGAAGTGCACCTGGGGAGAACCCCAGGCTGAGTCGGCGCGCCGAAGCCGGGCCCATCCGGGTTTCCTCCTACCGATTTCAAGCACTCTTTGACTCTCTTTTCAAAGTTCTTTGCATCTTTCCCTCACGGTACTTGTTCGCTATCGGTCTCTCGCCAGTATTTAGCTTTAGATGGAATTTACCACCCAATTCAAGCTGCAATCCCAAGCAACCCGACTCGACGAGGACGCATCGTAAGGCCGCAACCCGCCACGGTACGGGATTCTCACCCTCTCCGACACCCTGTTCCAAGGGACTTGAGCGGCGGGCGCGGCCGATAACGCCTCTCTAGACCACAATTCGGGGGGCGCTGCATACGCGAGGCCTCCAGATTGGCAGCGTGAGCTCAGCCCGCTTCATTCGCCATTACTAGGGGC